ATCTATCTATCTATCTATCTATCTATCTATCTATCTATCTATCTATCTATCTATCTATCTATCTATCTATCTATCTATCTATCTATAATATACACTAATGGTGGTAAGCTACAACCACAGCTGTCCTGGGGCACACTGACAGATGTGGGGCTGCCATTCACCAGTGCCACCAGACCACTCTGACCATCAGTMGGCAAGGTGGGTGAAGTGTCTTGCCTAAGGGCACAACAACTGAGACAGATAGAAAGGGGGATCGAACCGGCGACCTACCAGTTACGGGACGACTCCCCGAACCACTCCACCACAGCCGCCCCAATTAGTGCCATAATGTTGTCTTTTTGCGTACAACACACTCTCACGATCAGGCTCGCATGGAAGGTGTCATGGAGCAGCTAACCCTAACCCTACAGTCTTGTTTAATCACATGAAAGACCGGCATAAATCAGAGTAAGAGGAAAGCCAGAAAACACAGACCAAGGCCACAAAGTTTACATGCATCTATTAATCGTCATATTAACTGTTATCGGCTAAATGCCACAATTAATCGTGACTGATTTTTATGTCAATAATCCCCAACCCTAGTATTGATGATATACATTTTTGGGCCTAATTCTTCCTTTACCACTGATGTAATCAAACATCATTGAGGTATGTTTTATGTTATGGTACAAATGGTTAACGTGATGTTAAAGATGATTTTTCTAGGCTTTCTTATTGTGTTACACAAACATTAGATGGCCATCATAGAGGAACAAAAGACCTAAATTAAGTCTGCTTTCATTGTTTTGATAATGCGGATAAATTAGCTAACTTTCTTATTATTAATTGTTGCAGGAAAAACATTAACATTGCAACTATCCTCTCACTAAGAATGATAAAAATATTTGCATCCTAATGTGTGTAGTYGTATTTCACTTTTATACAAGTTAAATGTCCTTCCCACTTCCAAGAACCAGTCTTATATCTGAAACTCTGCTCTTCTTCATCGGCACCATGTCCGCTTTACAAATATAGTTCTTGGATAAAGAGAACTCCATTAGCAAGTTGGACACTTATGTAGCTCGGAAGGTCCATCAGTTATCACTCGTCTTGTGTTGCCTGCCAAGCGAGCCGCGTCCCATCTAAAACCATGAGGGCCCATATCAGGGGGGAGTCCGGGTTGAGGGGGCGGGGTCCCTTGGGTGATCCGGTGATCGCTGTGGTGCCCACCACCTGCCCGTCCGAACAATATGCCGGAAGTTTAAAGCACAACATAGCTGAATACACAAGGGTGTGCTTAAAAGCGGGTCCACATTTTCTTGCCAAAAAATGTGTGTGGGTGATTGAAGGCAAGATATGGCCCTCCTGGGAYTGGAAAAGGTCCAAGTCGATGGACTTAGCCATCTTAAAGGGGAAGAATGCTCAGTTCATGTTTTCACACATGTTTTCACCAAGAATAGACCTTTTGAATAAGTGTTCTCAGACAGGAGCAAGACATTCCCATTGCTTACAGCTCAGCGGGCATCAAAATGATACAAAAACTTTAAATTATTACTGTAAATGGAAATTTCAGTCGGTGGTTTTCTTTTTTTATTTTTTACTGCAACCATTTTATACGAACTAAAAATGTAATAAAGGAAATTAAAGTCTTGGATTTGAATATCTGATGTTATGTACTTCAACCAGAATCTCTTGCTGTTGTACATTTATTTTAAAAAAAACACTTTGTTTTGGGTAAATAAAACATTTTTACACACGTACATCAGTATTTCTAGCGCACCCAGTTCTGTCATATAAAAACATGCGTTAACCCTCTTTTAACTCATTCCTTAATGAATAAAACCTGTTAGCCAAAATTGGCCAGTTTTTTTACCCTTGAGCACAATTGGACAAAATAAAATAAAGCTTATTTTAAAACTATATTTAGCTTTTACTTGCCATGTAGTTTTTTCTGCTTTAACCATGGCTGTAAATTTATACCAAAGCAAATCAAATTATTGCAAAAAAGTACACTTCAAATTGCACTTTATAGAGGAAGTTCAGCTGTATGTTCTTCATAAAAAATTAATCTCAAGTTTTATTTCACCTATAATAAACACATGAGCTATTGAGGCCACATGGAAAAACCTCGAACGTCTCCAGCCAGCACGACGTGACCGCAGAAAACCTACCAGCTGCTGCTGCATCCGATCTGCCAGTTGAAAGGAATCAAGTGCAAATCGTGGAGCAGGGAGTTGATTGATGCCTTCTGTCAAGCTTTTGCACTGAAAATACACAAACGCTGACATAGGTGATTCATAACTCCTGAAATGTTTTGCGCAGATCTTGGCGCACGTTTTACCTCAAGAACTCTGTTCTTTTTTAAAACCGCAAACAGTTTTTTTTTCAACCTGTAGCTGTACAGGTTTCTTATCTAATAAACAAAACACTTTTACTTCAAAACCTCTTAAAAATAGTTAAAAAGTGCAAATGTTAAAGTTTGGACATCGTTATTAGTAAATGGTTTAGTCTTTTTGGGGTAATTTACAAAAATGTGTCTTTTTGTTTTTACTTTCAGAGATGCAGAGACATTTTTGCTCGACTCTAAAAAGGTCCAGGCATCCGATGGGGGCTGGTTAGTGTTCGATATAACAGCCACCAGTAACCACTGGGTGATGAACCCACAGCAGAACTTTGGCCTTCAGCTCTGTGTGGAGACAATGGATGGTAAGTGAAGCTCTAATTTCTTTCTAAAGATTTCATATTTCCCTCAAACCTTTACAGATTTATCACATACTCATATATTTGCATGTAACTGTAAAGGAAATAGAAAACATTGACCACAAATACTGTATACCCAAATTAGTTTTTAAATGTTTGGTTGCCTTAAAGCTCATCATGAAAGCAGTCATAAAGTACAAAATGAGCTTTTTACTGTTGTTTTTGAAAGAGTTTAATTGACTTCCTGCTTTTGTAAAGGACGGAGCATCAACATTAAATCTGCTGGAATCATTGGGAGGAACGGGCCCCAGTCCAAACAGCCATTCATGGTTGCTTTCTTTAAGGCCAGTGGGGTGTTGCTTCGCTCCGTCCGAGCTGCCGGTGGGAAAAAGAAGAACCACAATCGCAATAAATCCAACAATCAACAAGAAACATCAAGGACGCCAAAAACCGGAGGCGCGTTCACAAACTTGTGGTGTTTTTTTTGGTTTTACAATGTTTTTTTAAATCCTTACAAACACTAACAATGCTGTTGTCTTAAAGTTAGGAAGTGCTTTTATTTTCTAATTACCTTTGAAGCAAACTGCAGCACGTTCAGTGCTCACTAGAGAATTAAGTGTTCAGTAGGAGTTTTATTATTTGTGTATATTCGTTGTGCAAACATTTGGAATTATTTGTATATTTTATTACTGTTACAGTTCTAAAACTTTGCCTCAACCTTTTGTTTTTTTTATTTTTAGACTTCAGTTTGCTTTTTTTGAGGGTTTCTTAAGAGCTGTTACAATCAGAGATAAATTTTGCCATTTAAACACAAAATATATTCATTCAGTCTTCAAATGTTTATTATCATTAAATAGAGTTTTGTTCTATTTTCATCATTTTCTTCAGATTATAACACCAGTGAACAGAAGCAGGCGTGTAAGAAGCACGAACTTTACGTCAGTTTCCGAGAACTGGGCTGGCAGGTAGGACTCAGTCGATTTTTACAATTTTATTTATTTATTTATTTTTGCATAAGTACTATGGGAAACTATGAAAACATCCATCTGGATTACAAATTATAGAAAAGAAATATTGTCTTTGTTTGTGTAAAGGACTGGATTATTGCACCTGAGGGATACGCAGCATTTTACTGCGATGGCGAATGTTCGTTTCCGCTCAACGCTCACATGAATGCAACAAATCACGCAATCGTGCAAACCCTGGTGAGTATCCTTTTAGAGTCCATTGCCCAGTTGCACCATTATAAAATCACATTATGTGCTCATATTACTATTAAAAGTGAACTGGAAAGTCATTAATTGCAGGATCTTTTACACTTTGCACGTATTCTCGTTTATAGGTCCATTTAATGTTTCCGAACAATGTCCCAAAGCCATGCTGCGCCCCAACCAAGCTCAACGCCATATCCGTGCTTTACTTTGACGACAGCTCCAACGTTATTTTGAAAAAGTATAGAAATATGGTGGTCCGATCTTGTGGGTGCCATTAGTTTTTGAGGGGGTTTAATTTATGGTAGTCTGATTTGGGACATGCTGGAAAACACATCTGCTGCAGGTGTCATGTGATGTACAGTATTATGTGTATAAAGGTTTTCTTGCTTAATTTATTTGTCATTTTATAAATAGCACTGAATATTGTAATATTTAAATATTTAGCTCAAACTGTTGATTATTGCATTACAGCTTTTTAGTTCCTGTGTCCACTGGCATATACTTTTGTCTACATATCTTTTATGAGCAAACAGTTCACTGGAGTTATAATAATTGCTTTGTTTTTCACTTTTTTCATGTAATTGTGCTGTAAATATATGAGGACTTATATTTAATGGTAATATTATATACTTTGGTGCTAATTTTTGTATTAGCTAATATGCAATAATGGATTTTTAAAAATAGAATAATGCTTAAAAATACAGAACCGAGGTAATATTGAGCACATGGCACATCTCAGTGTGATGATTTTAGGGTAGATATCACAAGCTGAACAGGATGTTGAAAACATTTGAAGTTAAATTGGATCAGAGGGAGTAACAAATATGTTTTCTATTATGAACTAAACTGCCTAAAGCTATTTTCAAGCTGTCTGTGAGCTTTTATACTGTCTCACCCTGTTTGAGTCATTTTTTTAACAAGACAATATGTCCCAGGAGGACACTTTTGTTTGTTTTGCAGTGAAATAAGTAGATTGTTGACTCTTCAATTTTGAAAGTACTCCCAGTCATACCGATTTTTAACAAAGTTTGTATTACTCTTCCAAAACACACTGTTTCTCATTTCTCTGTGGGCCTTTTCATAACTAGAAACATCTTTGCTTCATGAATTGAGAAGCATAACTTAATGATAGTCTTGTGTATTTTAATAAAGGTTCTACTTTAAAAAAAAACACTGTTTGCTTGGCTTTAATTTGACTTCTCAGCTTTCCGTGCTCCATTTATAAACCTAAAGTAAATGTATGTTTAAAATAGCTTCAAGAATAAAAGCACCCCCCCCCCCCACCCCGCCCCCTCTTATAGAGCCTTCCAGATGTAAGTCCTCCAGCCTTGGCCTTTTTGCATTTCTGTTTGGAGATCTGTGGCTGTTTAGCATTCTGTTGCCGGACTACCGTCTCAGATTTATAAATGTTTAACAAGCATGACATAAACTGTTGACATGCTCTCGGGAAGCTGTAATGCTAGTTGCTGAGTTCAAATACTAAAACAATGCTGTGACCTCCAAAGCCCGCCGGAAAAAAAAAAAAAAACGCTGGTTCTCATCCATCCCGTTCATGTTTATGTGTTGTGTGTGGTATACCTCTGCTTGTTTTCATTCTGTAAAAATATATTCAGCGCTTTTGTCATTTATTTAAAGCCAAGGCTAAGAACAAAGAGGAAACCATGACCACGATGGAGAGAAATTTATTGCATTTTTCCACCTCACTCGGGATAAGGGTAACTTCCAGTGGGTTTGTGCTCGTTCCAGTGAAGTGCTCTGATTACAGAGTGATTTTCAATGGTCCTGGAAATGTGGGGATTAGGTGAAGGATTAATATTTATTTACACAACTGTGTTGAACTTCTCAGAAAACAGAATATGTGCTGTTGCATTTTTACCTCTTCCCGTCGTCTCAGCTGTTATTTTTTTATTTTATTTTTTTTCTTGACACGGCAGAACATTGAGCAACTGTATTTGACTTAATTAAAAGCAGTGGCTTTGGCCTGCCCAGATGTTATGTGGGCTCCATCTAAAAGGAGTGTTGACATTTGGTGAATAGAAGAGGCCACCTGCTAGCTTAACTCTTGGCTTGAGGCGTGATTTGCATTCCTGCGGCCTGTTGCCTGGCATGATCACGCCTTGCACTCAACAATTCCATCTACTGTTTTATTTCATGGATTCCTTCCAAATCAGGTACATTTATTCTTTGACAGAAGTGTACTTACTGATATGAACAAACTTCTGTATGAAGCAACGACTTCATTGTCAAATCGGCTGCAATGAATTAAAATAGCCTCAACCTTCACGGGATCAGAACCTCTGATCTACGCTGGAAAAGGTCAAAGTCCCTATTGCTAGTTTTTGTGAAAACTTTTTAATAAATTATGACATTATTCAATTAATGTGTCAAAATCTACTGTTGAGCTACAGAAACTGTTACATAATGTCATGTGTTTTTAGAATTTTTCTATTAAAAACATTTTTTGAGTAAAATAAAAGACATGTTCATGTCAGCAGCTGCAAAAAACGTGTTTTTTTTTTCAGCAAATGGGATAAATTCATTAAAGCAAAACCTTCCTGAAGCTTTTAACAGGCTGAGCCTTGCTGTCTGTCACAAGCCACAAACACTTGATAATTCAGGTCATTCTGTTCTAATCTAAACCATTGCCAGCAGGAAGTGGATAAATAAGCACTGCAGAGCTAATTCTAAACAATGACAGAAGAGCAACTAATCTTGTCAGACCACCGACAAAGACGCCGCAGGCCTCTCAGAGATGTCCTGGACATTATGACAACCACAAATTCAATCACAGAAGAGACGTTATTTTTCATTTTGCTCTCTCTCTTTTTTAAAAATGAGCAAATCCCTGCAAATCCTTACTGTTGAAGTGACAAATAATATAAAAACCTGAAGGCAGATGCTCTGGAATGTGACTGACAGTTTGCAGAATAATCAGATAAATTTGAACTAAAAGCTACAATTAGCAGAAACAAATGAAAAGCTAATAATAGCTAAAAAGTGCAAAATTATTTAAAAGACAAAGGCAAGAAAACTGTAGAACTCACGATGAAAAAAACCTATAGTTTTATAAAAAAAAAGCTACATGTGGAAAAACCTACAGGCTAAAATACAACAAAAACAGCTAAAAGCTAAAATGAACAAAACAGTATAAAAAATTAAAATGGTAGGTATAGGCTCACATTAGCATTAGATTAATATTACAAATATTCAGAAATCTACTTAAAAGATAAAATAATTAAAAGCTAAATGTAACTAAACTGTAGTTAAAAACTCAAATTTGGAAATCTGTAGCTAAAATCTACGATTAGCAAAACCATAGACAAAAGTTAAAATTTAACAAAACAGAGCTAAAATTAACAAGCTTGTAGTGAAAACCTAAAAGAAGACAAAAACAGAATAAGTATGTTGATCTTATACAGCAATATTAAAGAGTTAAACATATCTCAGTGTAAAGCAGGGAAAGTTTGTTTAAATTAAGTTAAACATTTCAAAGTCTAAATGTTACAAATAAGAAAGCTGTCGTATGCTTTACCAGAACCAACTGATTATGATAAMGATTTATAAATGATTAAAATAAGACAAAGTAGCTTGATGGCAAAGAGTTCTGGAAGAAGCAAAAGGACAATATTACCTTGTTAGCTATCATCTTCAATGAGTGACATGTAAATTGTTGAAATTGTGTTTTGATGCAATAGAAAAACTGTAACCCATTTAATTGATTAAAACCATAGTATATTGTGTGCTAATCAGGGCTCCTTTTCTTTCCACGGCTCTGAGATTATTTTCAAAGTGTCACCTTGCAGTCCATCCACAAGGCAAGTGAAACTGTATCTAATAAAAATGTTGTGCAGTTTACCTAATTCTACCCACATATGGTTCTCCTTATTCTAATTCTGTGGGTGGGCTGTGACTTCCATACAGCTCAATCAGTCCCTCTTGAAAAAGGAAACCATATGGGTCACATTTTTCCGTGTTGTTTGGTATGACAAGGCTGCGGCAGGACAGCGAGGAATGTGTCCTCGCTGAGTGCAGCGATGAAAAATCCTGCAATGTTTGCTTGTTATTCACATGTGCACATTAACTTTCAGAGTCAGAGAAGAGATCGTTCCGAATCCTCAGAGTTACAACGGGCTGTTTGTGAACCGAACTGTCGCTTCCAATTAACATTAAAGCTGGCACCTGTGGATTCCAGCACTTTTAAAAACATGTAATATATTTGCATTCCTTTGCCAATCTAATAAATACACTACAATTAAACGTCAGCTTGTTTTTCTTGCGTAACGCTATAAACTGGATTCATAGTTGTTTTCCCACTTTCTTTTTTTGTCTCTCATGCACGCAACCTTTTGTAAAACACATTTTTCATGACAATCCTTAAAGCACACAAGTCAATTATGATTTTTTGTGGTTTCCTTTAAGCAACAAATCTTTTAGCATTACATCCTAACCATGCCTGAGCAGTAACATGAAAAGATAACTGCCACTTTTTCAAATAAAACCAGTAAATCTTGCTAAGTAGCATGTGTGTATTC